AGCTCCACTGCCAAGCCCCATGAGGGGCCCGGCGGTGGACCTGCAAGGCCAGCGGGAGTGTGAGGAAGCCCCGCGAAGGCCCTCCCTGGCCCCAGGCAGGCAGGGGTGGGGAGAGGCAGGGAGGAAGCAACTTACCCTCCCTCTTCTCCTGCCTCCTCCTGGCTGAATGTGGGCCGGAAGCAGGGCGGCTGGAAGCAGGGGGCGGGGCTTCGTCACGTGCCCTGCCCCATGCACCTCACCCGGGGGAACTGCGATCCCCCCCGAAATGACCTCTGGAGTCTGCCACTCTTAACCACTACACCAGGCTGATATAAGGGTACAAGAGGACTAGGGTAAGTAAATCTGATGCAGAAAAATCTTTAATATGTGCAATATTAATATTAATGTGACTAGCACCAAGAAAAACTTGTAAGCCGCTCAGAGACCCCAACTATGGGATTAGAGCGGGGTATTAAATTGAAAGCATAAATAAATAATAAATAAATAAATAAATATACTTAAATTTACATGCATTTACTTGAATTTAAATGCCTTTATTTAAACTAGATTGGATATTATATGGCAGGAGCACAAATGCTCTCGTAGACCCTCAATTCTAGTGTGACCCCCCTGAGTGATTTTCATTCACGACAGAGAGGTTAATTCTGCTGCCTAGTGTTTACGCAGCCATTCTTTTATTTTGGCACTTTACAAGTATAAAACCTTTAATTCGCTGGTGATGCCAATACTCCAGCAACACAGCAGGCAACTGAAAGGCTTCCAGACTGTCAGGGAAATGAGAGACGTCTAGATGCAGTGGTGGTTGTGGAAAGCGTTGTCAAGCCACAAACATGCTTTGCCATTGCCTGCCTCTGCACAGCAACTAGGGGTGTGGGGTCGGTATATACTAAGCCGAAGAAATACCCAAAAATACCTTTTTAGTATTTATTTATTTATTTTTAGATTTATATCCCACCCTTCCAAATGGCTCAGGGCGGCTAACATACGACAGTGCCGGATTAAATAGATAAAATACAATAAAACAACGTTGAATAACCACAATAAAACCCATACAATATTTAAGGTGCTCTGATGTCATCCTATATATAAATCACCCAAGATGGGAACAATAATCCCAATTTGACGGCCAGCTGTCTCAATAGCAAGGTCTCCAGCGACGATATTCTGAGCGCTTCTGCCAGGCGAGGCATACCTCCCATAATAGGGGTAGACGATGGAGCAATACCACGGTGGTGGAATAGTGACGGCGGCGGCTCCTACTCAAAAGCCTGGCGGAAGAGCTCCGTCTTGCAGGCCCTGCGGAACTGCACAAGGTCCCGCAGGGCCCGGATCTCCTCTGGGAGATCGTTCCACCAGGTAGGAGCCACCACCGAAAGTGCCCTGGCCCAAGTAGGGGCAAACTTAACGTCTCGGGGGCCTGGGACTTCCAGAAGGTGGAGACTCCCCAATCGTAGTGCTCTTGAGGAAACATACGGGGAGAGGCGGTCCCTCAGGTAAGCCGGACCCCGGCCATTTAGGGCTTTAAAGGTAAGAACCAGCACTTTGAAGGGAATCCGGTATGCTATCGGCAGCCAGTGCAGCGCTTGCAGCACAGGCTGGATGTGGTCTCGCCTAGAGAGGCCCATCAATAGCCTGGCTGCAGCATTCTGCACTAGCTGCAGCTTCCGGATTTGCGACAGAGGCAGCCCCAAGTAGAGAGCGTTACAGTAGTCTAGCCTCGAGGTGACCGTCGCATGGATCACAGTGGCCAGGTCCTCACGGTCAAGGTAGGGGACAAACTGCCGAGCCAGCCGCAGATGGTAAAAGGCCGCCTTGGCAGTGGCTGCTACCTGGGCCTCCATTGTTAACGAGGAGTCCAGGGGCGCACCCAAACTCCTAACCTCCCGCACAGGCACCAAAGGCACCCCGTCGAAGGCCGGGAGAGGGAGCCCCAACCCCAGACCGGTCCGACTCAGGCCCAGGACCTCAGTCTTTGCCGGGTTTAATTTCAACCGACTCAGTCTGAGCCAACCAGCCACAGCTTGTAACGCCCGATGAAGGTCATCAGGACCGGAATCCGACTGGCCACCTAACATCAGATAGAGCTGGGTACCATCAGCATATTGATAAAACCCAAGCCCACACCTCCAGGCAATCTGGGCGAGGGGGTGCATATATATGTTGAACAACCTAGGGGGCAATACAGCTCCCTGGGGCACCCCACACTCAAGGGAGTGCCTTCGGGACCACTGATCTCCAATCGCCACCCTCTGTCCCCCACCTTGAAGAAAAGAGGCGAACCATTGAAGAGCAAGCCCCTGAATCCCCATGTCGGCGAGGCGGCGGGCCAGCAACTGGTGGTTGACCATGTCAAACGCAGCCAACAGATCTAACAACACCAGTGCCGCCACGCCACCTCGATCCAGATGCCTACGGAGATCGCCCATCAGAGCGACCAGCATCGTCTCCGTCCTGTGGACCGGGCGGAAGCCGGACTGGAAGGGATCGAGGACGGAAGCCTCATCCAGATAGCCCTGTAGCTGTGATACCACTGGGTATTTATTCAGCCAAATACAGATTGGAGTATCTGACTGGGCTGCACCTGAATAAAAGATGATATTATTCAGCTTTTATTTGAGCATGGCTAGAAGGCATTTAAAGTGGTGAAGTGCGCAGACTCCTCTAATCTGGGAGAACAGGGTTTTTATTCCCCACTCCTTCACTTGCAGCTGCTGGATGAATTTGGGTAAGCTGTAGTTCTGGCACAGCTGTTCTTTACAAAAGAGCAGTTTCTGTCAGAGCTCTCTCAGCCCTACCTACCTCACAGGGTGTCTGCTGTGGGGAGGGGAAGGGAAAGGAGTTTGTAAGCCGCTCTGAGACACCTTTGGGTAGTGAAGGGCGGGGTATAAATCCAATCTCTTCTCTTCTTCTTCTTCTTCTAAACGGGGTTCTGTATAATCCTGAATTCATTCCCAAAGTGAGCACCTGAGAAGAGCTGAGGTCTTCACTGAACTTGCGGGGGGGGGGGACACAACACAGCCCTGAGACTAGGGGGGGGGACAGGACACAGCCCTGAGACTAGCTAGTGATTTTGTAATTGTTTTATTATTTCACAAAGTTCTGGCAACTCAACAGAAGAACCAAAACTAAGACACTTAAAACGTTAAAACCTGTTTGGGGAGTTCGAGAAGCGAATATGTTTGGAGTTTGGAAAACCATCAGTTATCCAGGGACTTTCTTGTAATCATGCTATGTGCCTTCTTGTCAATTTAACTGCTGACAAGGGCTTGGCAGAGGTGTCCCTTGACAGACAAAAGGCATTCTGCAATACCCAAAGGTGCGCATTCCTTCACACAGGCAAGTTGGAGCAATATGGCTTGTGCTTAGCAATTAAAAACAAGCTGACTGAAACTGGGTGGTTATTTTTCTCTTTTTAACCCCCCTTCCTCTTGGCCTCAGCTACACCCAAGGCAGTGAAGATGGGAAGTCCGGGGGGGGGGGTACTGAATTTCTAAGGGGGCACTGCCCCCACATGCCTCCCTTTGTGATATGTTTCTGCACTGAGAGCAAAACTGGCCTTCCACTCCAATGCTAGAGGGGTTCAGCTTCACTAACGGATATCACATATGAAGATGCAGTTACGTTTGTGCATCAGCTAGACAGATGTGCCTGCAGACCCCACAGGAGTCCTAACCACATATGCACCTTCCCTTTACATGTTACACCTGTCATGACGAGCATTCAGGTAAGGCCAAATAAATAACAGGGAGAAGGAGGAGGAGGAGGAAGAAGGAGAAGGAGAAGAAGAAGGAGAAGAAGAGGAGGAGGAGGAGGAGGAGGAGGAGGAGATTGGATTTATACCCGCACCCTTCACTTGGAGTCTCAGAGTGGCTTACAATCTCCTTTCCCTTCCCCTCTCCACAACAGATACCCTGTGAGGTAGGTGGGGCTGAGAGCAATGCTCCCTCTAAGCTGTCGAGTCTTGTGAGCAAAAATTCTACTTTGTGAGTTACTGCATGAAAGTTGTGAGTGAGCGACTTGGCTACTGCATAAATTAGTTTGCTCTGGAGCCATCCTTCCTGAGCTAAGGCAAAAATGTATGAGCTGGAGGCTAAAAAACTGTGAGCTAGCTCACACTAACTCAGCTTACAGGGAACACTGGCTGAGAGAGCTCTTTCCAGAGCTGTCCTTGAGAGAGCAGCTCTGACAGAACTATGACTTGCCCAAGGTCATCCAGCAGCTGCAAGTGGAGGAGTGGGGAATCAAACCCGGTTCTCCCAGATTAGAGTCCGCGCACTGAAGCCACTACACCAAACTGGCCCTGGCTGGAAGTGGTTCGTTTTGAAAACCTAGCTCGTAACGAGGAAATGTTCATCTGGCATTCACTTACCAAACATCCATACGTCACTAGCTGAGGTAAAACGTCGGAAGTTGATGGACTCGGGTGCCATCCATTTGATGGGCAGTTTTCCTTTGGAAGCTACAGGGTAGAGAGGAAAGACAACTGAATGCTTCTGAATTGCCTGTGCTAAAGCATACTTATCTGATCATCCTCAATAGTAGAAGGGCCTTTGGAAAATGTTATTTTGTGCCACATTCCAAGCAGAAGGGAAGCATTTCTGCACAAACTGACAACAACAACAACAAAGTGCCATCAAGTGCAGACTTATGCTGACCCCATAGGGCTTTCAAGGCAAGAGATGAACAATGGCGGTTTGCTGTTGCCTTTCTTGGCATAACAACCCTGGACTTCCTGGGGGGGTGTGTGTGTGTCTCCCACCCAAGTACTAACCAGGGCCAAACCTTGCTTAGCTTCCAAACTCCGATGAGTTCAGGCTGATCAAGACTATTTATGCTGCGAAAATTTATACAGAGAGCCAAAACAGGGAAAGGAAATAGTGAGGAAGGCGCTTTGCGGCCATTTCTGCACAAAAGTGAAATATCCTTGTCCCATGTTAGGAAAAAAGTATAACTAAAAGCTTGGAGACCCACCAAGAATCATAAAGTTGGAAAGGAAGGCAAGAGTCATGCTGGGTTGGTCCACAGCTAGTGCAGAGGGCAATGCCTCTGAACTGGGGGGGGGGGTACTTCAAAAGGCCCTTAAGCAGAATTAATGCCTCTGAACTGGGGGGGGGGTTACTTCAAGAGGCCTTGAAGCAGAATTTGCTGTCAGGTGATGACTTCTGGTGCAGATGTTTACTTCTGCTTGTTCCAAATTCACACCCCTCTTTTCTCTCCAAGAGGGGCAGGAAACCAGCCAGCTCCAGCTAAGCTGGGCTATTCAGGCCGTTAAGTTAGCTCTAAAGGTAAAAGGTAATGCTTTCCCTTGCTCGTAAGCTAGTCAAATCCAACTCTAGGGTTGTGGCGCTCATCTCCGTTTCCAAGCTGAAGAGCCAGCGCTGTCTGAAGACGTTTCCGTGGTCACGTGGCTGACTAAACACCAAGGCGCACGGAACGCTGTTACCTTCCCATCGAAGTGGTACCTATTTATCTACTTGCAATTTCTTGCTTTCAAACTGCTAGGTTGGCAGGAGCTCTAGCACCTAATTAATCCAGCATTTGGTTCCCTATTGTGACCACCTGGATGCTTCTAGTAAGTTTACAACAAAGACGTAAAAGTCAGAACTTCCCTCCCTCTTTGTTCCCAGTCCGTGACCCATCAAGGTATACTACCTGTTATCATGGAAGTTCTATTTATATTTTATAGCTAACTGCTGATACAGATGGATGCTTGCAGATGAATGAGAGGGTGGGAATCAATTCATTGTTGGGAATACAGTTAAGCTGTCACGACTGTCAGTGTTATTTTTCTGAACCAAAGTGTTTCTCGATAGATTCCAACCATTCTAAGACATTCTGCCTCCTCACCTTTATAATACGTGCTGTCTTCCATATACCGGGACAAACCAAAGTCGCCTAATTTCACACAATCGGTGGAGTACACCAGCACATTTCTAGCAGCAATATCTCTGCCAAAGGAAAGAAACAGTTATTGTCTTGCATAGAGTTAATACGTTACAACATTTGCCATAAAGCAAACGGAGGATTATCTGACAGGTATGAAAGCTGCTCCGTGAGATGGAGATGTGACAGTTATACTGTTGGATCCATGGGGGGGGAGGGGAAGAGGCAAGCTTCCGTAATTAGGTGAGCGGCAACTTGAGAGAGGGCCTTCTCAGCCATGGCACCAAAACTATGAACGCTTTCCCCTGGGATATTTGTCTGTCCCCTTCTAGCACTGACTTCTGCCAGCAGGTACATAAGAGAAGCCAATTCTGGATCAGGCCGATGGCCCATCCAGCCCAATACTCTGTCACATAGTGGCCAAAAATACCAGGTGCCATTCAGGAGGTCCAGCAGTGGGGTCAGGACCAATGTTCCCTCTAAGCTGTGGAGTCTTGTGAGCAAAGATTCTACTTTGTGAGCGACTGGCATTAAAGCTGTGAGCGATCGATTTGGCTTCTGCATCAATTAGTTTGCTCTGGAGCCCTCCTTCCTGAGCGAAGACAAAAATGTGTGAGCCGGAGGCTAAAAAACTGTGAGCTAGCTCACACTAACTCAGCTTAGAGGGAACACTGGTCAGGACACCAGAAGCCCTGCCACTGTTGCCCCCCCCCAAGAATATAGAGCATCACTTGCCCCAGCCTGAGAGTTCCCATCTATACCTTGTGGCTAATAGTCACTGATGGACCTCTGCTCCATATGCTTATCTATTCCCTCCTTATAAGAACATAAGAGAAGCCAATGTTGGATCCAGTCGAACACTCTGTGTCACGCAGTGGCCAAAAACACCAGGTGCCATCAGGAGGTCCAGCAGTGGGGCCAGGACACTAGAAGCCCTCCCACTGTTGCCCCCCCACAAGCACCAAGAATACAGAGCATCACTTGCCCCAGACTGAGAGTTCCCATCTATACCTTGTGGCTCATAGCCCCTGATGGACCTCTGCTCCATATGCTTACCTTCTTTGTTTTCTCTGCCTTTCCCTCAATGATCTCTCCTTCCTGCTCTATGTTTTATTACTGTTTTATGGGAGTTTAATAACTCATTCTAGTTTTGGTTTCAATTTTTTTATGAATTGGTTTTATTACTAGAACTCGGGGGCAACCCGAGGAAACTGATGGGCAGTAGGTTCAGGTCACACAAAAGGAAACACTACTTTACATAGAGAGTGTTCCAAATGTGGAATTCGCTGCCAAAGGATGTCGTGATGGCCACAGGAATAAACAACTTTAAAAGGGGATGAGATAGATTCATGGAGGATAAGGTCTAGCAGTGGCTACTAGCCATGGTAACTGAGGGGAACCTTCACATTCAGAGGCATTAATAACTCATTCTAGTTTTGGTTTCAAATTTTTTATGAATGGTTTTTGTGTTTCTAGGCCCTGTTTTTGGGTTCCAGAGGAACCGGTCAGCCACTGTGTGAGACAGGATGCTGGACTAGATGGACCATTGGTCTGATCCAGCAGGGCTCTTCTTATCTCGTTTCCTGTTGCCGCCGACTTTTCCTAGCATTACTGTCTTTTCCAATGACCCCTGTCTTCTCATAATGTGACCAAATTATGATAGCTTCAGTTTAGTAACGTTAGCTTCTAGGAAGAGGTCAGACTTGATCTGATCTAAACCTTGGCAGCACAAGCATTTTGTAAATAAATAAAAATGCTGCTTCACAGATATTTTGAGGTGCTTCTGTCATCGGTAACTTAATGTGACCTTTCCTTCACTGTATTTCCTTCCAAAAATGTGTACTGATCATTCTTCTACTTAATGCTTAGGTTTGCTTATGAGCACATTTTTTGTTTCTTTCTTTCATATTTAATTATAGTTGACAACATAAGCAGGAATCTGCCTAATGCTCTTTCCACTCTTAAAAATAGCTTGCTGAGCTCAGCACCGTTTGGAAGGCTACGGGTGGTTTTGAGTTGGCATTCGGGAATCAACCAGAGACGTGGCAGAAGCAAACCATTTGCTGAACTCCTTTCAAGCAAACATGTGAAATCACTAAAGACGATGGCCACCAGTAGGTGTCAGTCTATGCCAGGGGTGGCCAAGCTTGCTTAACGTAAGAGCCACACAGAATACACATCAGATGTCCGAGAGCCGCAAGACATGAATATTACACACAGGGTTTTATTGAAAAATCTGCAAAATTGCTTTTGATTAACATTAAAAGAGTCTGCCAAAAATAAAAACAAAAGGGGTAAAAACAGATACTGATAATGATATTTATTTGTCCAATGATGTTTGTTTGTTTGCTAATGATATTTATTTTTTAAGAGAGAAAGAATGCATTTGAGAACGCATTTTAAGTTGCTTTCTTTCTCTGCTTCCCCACCACCACCACCACCTCAAGCCTGCCCAGGGATGGGAACACTGGCTGGGGAAGGGAAGACTGATTAGGGAGGCGTGCCTCCCCTTTGCTTTCCCAGCCGCCCTGCTGGGAGGTGCACAATATGTGTGAAAGGAGCACATGAGGCTCCCGGGCCACAGTTTGGCCACCCCTGGTCTATGCCCACCCAAGCCTCTCATGTCTCTGGCAGAACTCACAAGGAATGCTTTGCATAGGGAGGTACAAACCAAAAAAGTGTGGGTGAGTCAATTCTGAATATCCAGAGTACCATTGTGAGTAAGAAACACCTTGTTCTTAAAAGGAAATTCCAGCCCAAAAAAAATTAGAAAAGCAATGACAGAATGAAGTCCTGGATTAATCAAACATGTATGTTAAACCAGACACCCATCCACACATCTTTCCAATTTAAAACTAAGCCTTTTCAGATTATTGTCTTACCTATGTACAAATCTTTTGCTCTCTAAGTAGGCAAGTGCTGTGCTAAGTTGATACGCGTACAGTATCAAAGATGCCAGATCCAAGCTGTATTTTCTTACTTGCAAAAACGACCTCAGCTTTAGGGATAAAGGAGAAGGGGGGGGGGACATGTAAGAAGGTCAGACCAAACAAAAACATACTTGAATGAGAAAGAATTTTTCAGTGCTTCTATGCCTTTGGATTCAGACAGACATGACCTTGGTCCTTACCTTTCAAACGAAGAGTGGAAAACGGGCTAAAACACCAGTAAAATTTAGGGTTTGCATTCCCATACTGAACGCCATTCATCGAGTGCCAAGGTGAGATTTTAGATCTGTCGTCTTAGGAAAAGCAACAAATACGACATCTCTCTCTGGGCAGGCTCTGACACTGGTCTTATCAAAACGGAAATGAAAAAGCCGGGCCTCGTCTTCATTGTGTGCCTTTCTATTCCTGAACAGGAGAGCAACGATGGGACACCTGCTAGCAAAGTCCACTGGATATAACCGTGACACAAGCCCCCACTGTTTTCAGCGGAGTTGCGCCGGAGGCGGCGGCAGTTGTTCCCGTATCCCTAACTGCCTCAACTCCAACTCCATGCCAAAAGCGACATCATATTGTTTCTGTTGGCTAAAACCTGATTCACTCAGCCTCTTCCCACACTTACATCCAATGAGCATTGGTTCCTCCTCGGTTCACCCTCTTCTTTCTGACTCCCTGGGTCTTAGGGAAGGCTGCTATGGCACTTCCACCGTGCCTCAACTACTGGAAGTTGCACACCTGATGCGACTCAAACCTCTTGCTTACTGGTCTAGCCTTTTCTTGCCTCGTTGCTCTTGGGTCAATCCCTCCTCTGAACAACACGTTAAGAGCGATTCTCTAACGGTTGCGAAGCTGGGAACGGAGAAGCTCCCACGGACGATAGACACCACATTCCCCACCGGTACAACATCAAAGATAAGCGTTGCAAGCTCTGAAGCAATTAAGCGCATGGGAAGGAATGCAAAGCAATTAGAAAACATCTCTACACTCATGGCAGCGTAGCTGACAGCTTGCTAGGAAGGGATGAGCCTCTTCTGCTTGGGCAGCAAATGACGCCCTTGTCTATGATGGTAAAAGGAACCATATGTGGGGAGAACCCAGCTGAGGGAGCAGGGAGTGAACTGCCCCTGCCTTCTTCTGTATTAACACACGAAGCTGCCTTATACTAAATCAGACCATTGGTCCATCAAAGTCAGACTGGCAGCAGCTCTCCAGGGTCTCCAGTAGAAATGATTCACATAATCCGCTGCCTGATCCTTTGAACTGGAGATTCCAGGGATTGAACCTGGGACCTTCTGCATGCCAAGCAGATGCTCTGCCAGCATTTGCACTTGCTAGATGCAGTTACTTATGGCAGATATAATAGGATTCCATATTCAACAAGACTTGAATGGGAGATTCCAGGGATTGAACCTGGGACCTTCTTCATGCCAAGCAGGTGCTCTGCCAGCATTTGCACTTGCTAGATGCAGTTACTTATGGCAGATATAATAGGATTCCATATTCAACAAGACTTGAATGGGAGATTCCAGGGATTGAACCTGGGACCTTCTTCATGCCAAGCAGGTGCTCTGCCAGCATTTGCACTTGCTAGATGCAGTTACTTATGGCAGATATAATAGGATTCCATATTCAACAAGACTTGAATGGGAGATTCCAGGGATTGAACCTGGGACCTTCTCCATGCCAAGCAGATGCTCTGCCAGCATTTGCACTTGCTAGATGCAGTTACTTATGGCAGATATAATAGGATTCCATATTCAACAAGACTTGAATGGGAGATTCCAGGGATTGAACCTGGGACAATATGATGATGTACAGTCTACTTTTTTAGACCCAATTTTATATATGATAGGCTGGCCGGTGCGCCATCTTCTGAATGATTCGTCACCCAAAATAACTGAAAAGGTAGCCTTATTCCTAAGTCTGGTAATCAAGGATCGATTGCATAATGTCTAGATGCATACGACTGACTCATTTTTCCTTGTTGCCTCCCTATCTGTTTATTGCTTCCACCTGTATTCCAATATATGCCGATAAAAGTTGTGGTTTTGATGATGATGATGCTCTGCCACTGAGCCACCGCCCCACCCCAGAACGAACACACACGAAGCCGGCCTTATACTGATTGGGCTCTTTTTGTAGCAGGTACTTATTTGCATATTAAGCGACACACCCCTAATGTAGCCAATCCTCCCAGAGCTTACAGTAGCCCCTGTAAGAAGAGCTCTGTAAGCTCTCGGAGGATTGGCTACATTAGGGGTGTGTGCCCTAATATGCAAAGGAGTTCCTGGTACAAAGAGCCCTGATTCAGACCATCAGTCCATCAAGATCAATACTGCCTATTCCGACTGGCAGCAGCTCTCCAGAGTCTCTGCTAGAGGTCTTTCGCATCGCCTACTGCCAGATGCTTTAACTGGAGATGTCAGGGATCGAACCGGGGATCTTCTGTGTGCCAAGCAGATGGTCCACCACTGAGCCACAGCCCCCCCCCCGATATTAATTTGTCTTCTAGAAGACACTTACATGTATGATAATCCCTTCAGTAATCTCTCCCCCCCACCCCATAAGAGATATGAGTTAAAAGTGTTTTGGGGGTGAAAAAACAGGTTCACTAAGAACTGTTAGGAACAGCGGTAAGAGGATAATCATAATCTTTTATGCCAAATACTCAAGCTGAAGCATCAGAAGGGAGTTGAACTGTGAAATCAATTTTACATAACATCTTCCACATGTCCACTCTCCGTGCCGTTTTGCAGCCTGGTTTCAGCAAGTCTATCAGAAGTGCCTCCCTGACAAGGCCGATGCAGTTCTTTTACCCACTGATACATACATGCGCTGTATGAAATGTGCATAAAGGTTTTAATATGCTAGCCCTTTCCAGCTCTCCTCCCAGCAAGTGAAAAGACTCTTGAGGTCTACGTCTCAGAATCAGCACTGGGGAGCAAACAGGTGCAAGAGTCTTCTACCCAATGGAGTTATGCCCAATTGCTCCAGGGCGGGATTTAAACCCAGGATTCTGCAGCTGCGACATTTTGATGGCCCTGCCTCTGAGGGCAATATCCCAGCAGCCTGACGCGGCTGGCAGAAACAAGCCGCCCTCCCCAACCTCTCCGTAAAACATCTGTGAAGCCGAGAGAGACGAGTGCTCACAAATTCTTCGTACCTCTCCTAGCGTACAGAGCTCCATAATGATCCAGACGGGGTTTTCGGTGATGACGCCGATCAACTTGACAATGTGGGGGTGATCAAACTGCCGCATCGTTACTAGAAACAGAGGGAAACAAGCCTTGCTGTTAAATAAAGTAGCACTGGGATGTGTGCTGGTTATATACCGAATAAACTAACTAACTAACCAACTCTGAGATCTGGGATGTAGCAGGGTGGCTGGACGGACAAATAAGGGGTCGAATTACAAACTCCAGACTAAACAGTAGGTACAGTTGGGGGGTCTTCCATATTAAGGCCCACTGGAAGTGCCGTTGCATGCTGGTTTTCCATGTGGGAAGTCACTGTGAGTGTACCTGCTCACCATGGGATCAGAGCTTTGGTGGCGGTGGGTGTATTCTGTGTGTGCTTTTTTGTATGTGCTTAGGAGCCTGAAAGTCACGGTGACTTCTGGCGGCCCCCAATGGGGCTAGGACGTTTCAGAGAGGTGGCTTGATAACCTGCCTCTGCATCTCGGCCCTAGTATGCCTTAGAGGTCACCTTTCCAAGTATTTGCCAGAGTCATCCCTGCTTAGCTTCCAAGATTGGGCTTGCTGGGCTATCGACGTCAGGGCCAGGGATCAAACCTTCAATGCATCTCTCCTTATATATAATTGAATAGTGGGTGCCAAAGTTCTAATTCTAAAATGCACTCCCTTAGTGTATGGCTGATGGCACTGCTCCTCAGCATATATCGCCACCAATCAGAAGGCAAAGCCCGGGTCCCGCCCACACCACAACTGCTGCGACAACCTGGTCTTTTGCATATGGAAGCTGATTGGACTTCACTCCATTCCACACCTCAAACTCCCCCCCCCCAAGGCAGTTGGAATGTAAGTTGCATATGGAACCTGCTGTATTCTGGTGGTGTGCAGGTCCCAGGTTCATGTTTTAAAAGCAGACTGACACTGTTTGCCCAAAGCCAGAGCACTCTCCCAAAGCTTCTTTCTAGCTCCCGTTATATTTATTTCCACAACGGGCCTTATTTCTAGTAGTAGATATAAATCAGCTGCCACACAAGAGTTCCTTGGAAACACGGTTTCAATAAATCTCCACGCAGCAGCCATCTTTGACTGTTATAGACGCGACTCCCCCCACCGCCACCACAGTTGTTGTTGTTGTTGTTGTTAATAATAATAATAATAATAATAATAATAATAATAATAATAATGCTTCGATTTATTAATCGCTTTCCCCGCAATTGGGCTAAAAGTGATTTACAGTTACTCTTTAGACAGGGGACTAACAATGTTTCATAAGGCATAGGGAAGACAACATATAATTCATTTAATTGCACACGCTGTGACTGCACGGTGGAAACGTTCTGGCTTGGCTCAGTCATGTCCCGAACGGCTGCGTCGACTGGCTTGATGACGTTGGGGTTTCAGGACCCGTATGTCGTGTCGCCACACTGCCACCGCCTGGCCGGAGCATCCCACTGCAGGGATTTTTCGTAGCCGAGTAGATCTTCCGCCTTCCGGATCCTGGACCAGGACGTCCCCAACCGACAGCTAACACCTTTCCCAGAGGGGAAGTTGGTGTGCCCACCCTCTCTAAGGAGTGGTTCCCATTTTATCTACTCGCCGAGGCTTTTGAATCGCTGGGTGGACGATGAGCTGGGGACAACAGGCTGGCAGCTCACACCAGCGTGGGGCTTGAACTGACACAGTTCGGATGTTAAGACAGTGGGATCCAGAACAACTTATGCGCTCACTCATTCTTTCTCCTGGCTCTGAAATCCCTTTGCCCATCCCTCTTCAACACTGAAAGTGTTTAACTTTACATCAACACAAACGTGAATGTTAACTATGACCTGGATGGCCAGATCTTGGAAGCTAAGCAGAGTCGGGCCCTGATTAGTACTCGGATGGGAGACCACCAGGGAAGTACAGGGTTGCAACACAGACGCATAAATTGGAAAACTCTATTCATCTAATTCCTTGAAAACTCTACGGGGTCGCCGGAAGTCAGCTGCAACTTGACGGCACTTTCCGCCACCAGTTTTAAGTGAGAGGTTGCAGGGCTTAAACCAATCTTCAAGGTCCAAATTAAAACTACCCCTTGAGAAGAGAGGAGGGAGGAACAAAAAGGACTTGGGGAGGAATGCATGAGCCCACAGGGAACACAGATGAGGCTGCCTTATACCAGTTTGGTGTAGTGGTAAAGTCTGCGGACTCTAATCTGGGAGAACCGGGTTTGATTCCCCACTCCTCCACTTGCAGCTGCTGGATGACCTTGGGCAAGCCATAGTTCTGA